AGTTCTATGTTTGAGGTGAAACCAACAATTGTTTTTTTAATCTCTGCATATCTTAGTTTTGTTGTTAGCAATACAACTTGGTCATTGTTTTTTGTCATTATACTTTGGTAGAAGACCAGACCTTGTTTTTGGCAGCTGCCTATGTGTCTTCCTGTACATAAATGAGAAATCAAGAGCTGAGGCAGTTCGAGGCCTCACTTGTTTACATTAGGATTAGGACTTCTTAATGTAAATGATTAAAATTGTCTCTAGATCTAAACACTAATTGATTAAGATTGTTTATTTTCTAACATCTCAATATGCATAATTTTTTATTTTGTAAAATAATAAAAAAATCATTATTTGATATAAAAATGAAACATTTATGCTCTTAAGCTGATCTTGAAAAGTGGATCTTAAAAAGCAATATTAATCTGCTTTAGTGTGTGTGTCTGTACATATATTATCTATTATTCAGCAATTGACCTGTTATCAATAATGTAGAACTGACCACAAAGATATTTCACTTTTATACCCTTAAAGTCATTCTTAAATTGTAGTTTAAAGAAAGGAAAACAGAAAAACGCTGGATATGCAGTAAATTAACTGAAATCATTTTTGATTATTATTCTCCTATTTTCATCACCAAACTTATAACAAAAGATGAGATAATACGCCTTGAAGTATGTGCACACTTTCTTATGCTGTACCCTGTTATGATGTAATTCTTTCTTTGGTGGATGTTAGTGATAAAGATCAAGTAAAATTGATGATTATGTTGCATTTTGCTGCTCCTACTCTTCTTTCCCCCCTTTTTTTGTTGGTCCACATGAATTGTTTTGCTGTCTGCAGGGGAGCTGTGGTTAATTTTCACTCAAGTCTATCACAACAGATTTGCATCAGGCCTTTTTGTTCAAATAGTGGTATATCTTCTCTAATAGTGATTTACCTTGTCTTGTCTTGAATCCTGATAATAATGCAGCATCTGCTAATGTACAACATGTAGCTATTTAAAATTAAAATGTCTTCTCTAGTTTTGGTCACCTGAAATGATTATTACCTATTCATAATCTTTGAGAAGATACCATTTCCTTTTCTTTTTTATTATTGAGATCTTATATAGATATTAATTGAACTTTGCAGGTTCTTTTGTTATTTATATTGTGATATCTAACTTTTAACATGTTAATCACGATAATCTGCAAATTCCTATTTAAGATTGAATGGTTAATTTGCATCGTCTATCTAAACATACAGTGATAGCTACTACTTGGAATGGAGGTGAAGTTACATATTCATTTGAAATTTAAAATTAATTTATACTCCATATGTTGTGAAATGATGTATTGGTTGGATGTTTACTCTTATTCATCTTCTTGTTTCATTTCTAGTCTTCTCTTCAGTGCTATCCCTTTTAGTTTTTCTATTGGGTTTGGTTGGGATTAAATATGAATACACAGGAACATTAGGACGTTTACCCTTCTATTTTCATTATTAGTACATAAATCCAGCTGATGGATATTTTGAAATACGTTAATCCAAAGTGGAGGGATGAGCTATAAATGTACTGCAATAATGGAGAATAATGATGACTACCATTTTTTTGTCTAGCAAGTTCATAATAGACACTTCTAACCCATGTATTCATTGTGTGCACAATTAGATGTCTCTCACTTGTTGAATGAATGACTATCAGCGAGATGACTGGCAATTTTATTAATAGTTCAGAAATTGCTTAAATTGCTGTGTCTTACTGTGATCAATTGACTTTGCAATGTAATACAATTACTAACATTTTGTGCCTTCGTTTGCCCCATCTGAATTTCTTCCAAAGGTGATCTGGTCGATGCTGTTGTTCCTTATATGGGCGAATCCATAAGCGATGGCACACTGGCTAAATTGCTGAAGAGTATGTTTTTTGTTAGTGTCCACATATTTTTTCTTTATAACTTGGTTATTTTAATCTCATTCTTTTTGTGCAGATCCTGGTGACAAAGTAGAAGTTGATGAGCCAATTGCTCAGATTGAAACAGACAAGGTACTTGAACATGTTTAACTAATTAAGTCCAATTATTTTTTGTGGGTTTCTGTGGAGGTTAATGGCTTATATGTCATCCAGGTAACAATTGATGTAACCAGTCCTGAGGCCGGTGTAATCCAAAAGGTAGAATATCGTTTTAATACTGGAACTCTTCATTTTCTTTCCCAGGTTTCTTATTCATTTGTTATTTTGATATCAATTGATTTTGCATTTGCTTTGGAACATTGATAGTTTGTAGCTAAGGAAGGAGATACTGTGGAACCAGGCTTCAAGGTTGCTATCATTTCAAAATCCGGTGAGGGTGTGGAGAGTGTAGATCATGTTGCTCCTTCTGAGAAGCCATCTGAAAAAGAAGCTCTAAAGCCAACTTCTCCCATTCAAGAGAAAAAGGTGGAAGAGGTGAAATCCAAACTTGAGGTGGCTCCTGTGAAGGAGAATTCTAAGGCAACTTCACCGCCCCCTAAACGGTCTGCTACAGAACCCCAACTTCCACCCAAAGAACGGGAAAGACGAGTAAGTCTCTTACACTTTTGAAAGCTTTTTGTGATGACACTATTCATTTGAGCATTCGTCTCAATTACTGAGTAGCAACATCTGAATCCCTCTTGATGATAGGTTCCCATGACTAGGCTCAGGAAAAGAGTTGCCACTCGATTGAAAGATTCTCAGAACACCTTCGCATTGTTGACTACATTCAATGAAGTTGATATGTAAGTTTGGATTGTTATTTTGAAACAAATTTTTGAGCTTCTTTGTCATATGTTGTAGCTCAACCCTTCTGTTATCAGAAAGATAACCAAGTCTTTTGACAACTTGATCTTTGTTGCATGGATTCATGTAAAGGTACATATTCAGTATGTGTCTGGTATTGACTTGTTAATTTTTGCCAACTTTGTATTTTGAAGAAGGGAAAAGGACAAATATACCCCGGGACTATCGTAAACGGGGTATGCAGATACCCCGGTCATACTTTTGGAACATTGGTGCCCTTGCCATCCAAAAACTAGAGCATATATGCCCTTCACTCTAATGGATGACAAAATAGGGACACGTAGTGCAATCTTATCCTTCGATCCAATATTTAATAAATGTCGATCGGTGGATAAGATTATGACACATGTATGTCCCTTAGTATAAAGGGTATATATGTAATAGTTTTTGGACGGCAGGGCACCAATGTCTCAAAAGTATGACGGAGGGTATCTGCATACCGTAAATGGTATGCACGACAATTTGGATATATTTGTCTTTTTCCCCTTTGAAGAATCCACATGAAAAACCATGCTGATATCACACCTGTTTGACATTGTTACGCCAGTGAAAATGGAAGGGTCCATATATGATGTAACAGGTTTTATAGATGAGTAAAACTGGTTTACTTGAGTGATTTAGGAGGTCCAAATCTTAGTACTTCTTTCTTTCTGGGGATATTATTTTGTAGCTAGTGACATTTGAGGTTATAACTTAAGCATCTTTCTCTATTTAATATCCTGTAAGTAGAAACAGTTCTGTTTCTGTTCTTCTGATACGTTAGAGATGTAGGAGCCATTTGTCATAGCCCATGAAGTGAAGCTACACACCCGTTATATTAGTTGTATTCACTTTCTTCCATCTTTCTAATTGCAGGACAAATTTGATGAAGCTCCGATCTGAGTACAAAGACACGTTTGTTGAAAAGCACGGTGTGAAGTTAGGACTCATGTCCGGATTTGTGAAGGTATGAAAAGCATCAATGTTGATAATATTTTTAGTATATTTTCGTTGACTAACTACAGTGGAAAAGATCTTATACTAAATTTCAGGCAGCTGTTAGTGCACTCCAGAATCAACCTATAGTAAATGCAGTTATTGATGGTGATGACATCATATATCGGGACTATGTAGACATCAGTATAGCTGTTGGCACCCCAAAGGCATGCGCACCCCTCTGTTTGACTTCAATATTTTGAATTAAATTGACAGTTTTTAGACAATCTGTAATGTGATGGCTCGAATTTGTCCTTTTACCTGTTTTTGAGACCCTACTCTCTGTTTATTTGCCAATGTTCAAGTATCCTTTTCTAATTGTTCAGGGTCTGGTTGTACCTGTTCTCCGCGACGTTGACCGGATGAATTTTGCTGAGATAGAAAAGACAATAAACGAGCTTGCTAAGAAGGCAACTAATGGAACCATCTCTATTGATGAAATGGCTGGAGGATCGTTTACAATATCCAATGGTGGTGTGTATGGAAGTCTTCTAAGTACTCCCATCATAAATCCTCCTCAGGTACTTGTCCTTATTGAGACATCATGGTTTAAACTTTGAAATTCCCCAATAGATCTATCTGACAAGTGATGTTTTTGTTGCTTGATTTTGTAGTCTGCTATCTTGGGAATGCATTCAATAGTGAATCGCCCAATGGTTGTTGGAGGCGTCATTGTCTCAAGACCAATGATGTACATTGCGCTGACATATGATCATAGGCTGATTGATGGAAGAGAGGCAGTTTACTTTTTGAGAAGGATTAAAGATGTGGTAGAAGATCCACGCCGCCTACTCCTTGATGTTTGAAGATTTAAGATATACAACCATCCGTGGCTTTTGATTTGACTTTTCGTGGTATACCCAAGTGTTTGCGCAAGCTGAAAACCAGAAAATAAACGTTTGTCAAAGTTATTGAGGCCTTTGACATTGCTTTTGTCCCTGATTGTTTAATCAAGTTGCAGCAAATCTACATGCAAATAGAGATATGTAACAAACAATTCAATATTCATCCTTTTCCACAACTCTTGTATGTTTTTCTCATGATGCCCAAGGATTGCTTGAATACATTTTACCAGCTTGATGTCTTTATGCATTTTGTATGTCTTGTTGATTTTCCTTTTTTCGAACTGTATTGGAATTCACTTGTGTTTCAGATCCATCCATACAACAATAATTAGTTTTATGCTATGTCAATTATGTACTTGTTCATCTAGCATCTGAGTACAACTCATGCATAAGTCTCAAAACAGTAAGTATGGATCTATCTATTATTAGAGATGAAATATGTAATAGCAACACTTAAATGTGTATTCATAGGTCTCAAGCCCTTCTTAGAAAAGTCCCTTCCCGCTTCCATGTCAAGAGAAAAAGTATATTGCTTGATTTAATCATTCTACTTCTCTTCCATGTCAAATATACCCAAGGAAGGTGCTACCATTTCTTTGGAAATTTCCAAAACATCTAAAAAATCTCTTCATTTTGCCTAGTTGATATTTATCTCCAGTTGGGGACAAGTGAAGTAAAATTTGACAAAAAGTGATTTCTTTTTAACAACAGCAAACACAACACATGTTATTTCCTGCTTTTTACGTCTCTCCCCTTTGCACAAGTCCACGGTTGTTGAGAAACTCTATTGTAGACTGAAGATATTTGTTGTTAGAGCTCAAAGACAGCTTGGCAGTTTCGACCAGCTTGGAGGAAAAATCTGATGCTCCTTGACATACCTACTTAACAAGCATTCAAGGATTAGACAACGGAACTTTGACTATTTACTTGCATCAAACCTTACAAACAATCCAACATTTTAACGTCCATCCATAAGAGATAGGAAGATCTGAAAAAAGCTCTCTTTCATAATTGGTACTGGTACTAACTTGAATGTCTTGGAGATTAGGTGCAGTTTTATATACCAACTAGGACGGCAGGTCCTTCAGTCAATGATTTTAGGAAAAACACACACAAAGAACTGTGACTTACTTCAAAAGAAGATGCAATAGCATTGCAAGCATCAAGTGCGAGATTTCCTCGGGCAGCCTTCAAAGACAGTACTCAGATTTAGCTTATTAACGGCTCCCCAATTCTTTTATCTTTCATGGAAGAGCAAAAGGATAAGCAAGGTATTACCTGTATTGGTTCTTGTACAACAGTATCAATTAAGCTCTGAAGAAGAACTGCAGAAAATGAAGAAAGCTCTTGCAGATATTGTTGATCACAATAGAACAAAGAGTCATTGCCCATAACCTGGATGCGTGATAAATTAATATAGAGAGGGTAAAGCACTAGGACACTTGTGAAAGAAAGATGAAAAATATATAGATATCCAAATCAAGGGAATGAAAAACTAGTAAGAGAGTGAAGGCGGTTCCTTTTTTAGGATAATCTTTCACATATCCATCATTTATTAACATAGTACCAGAAACTGCAAGTTGTTATGCCCACAACAATAACTGTAACCGACAATCTGACCTTACTCAAAAGAAAAAATACATTTATTACAGGCATTTCTTCCTGTAAATGAAATGCCCACATGTATAGTTTCTCATTCCACCCATAAATAAAATGGATGCATGTAGGATGACCTTACCTGATGAAACGTCAATATACACACCTTGTTTTTATCAAGTTATACAGTATACTCGTGCACTATTCATCCTACACACCTGCTGTAAGGGACACCCGAGATATTTCCGTAGAAAGCAAACTTTTAGAACTATCTCGGTGAGAAAATAGAAGAGAAGGGTGATGACCTGATGTATACAAGACACTTGTTTATAGATGTCAAACACAACACACATGATAATTTATTGACATAAGATTGGCCCCTCAAAACTAGGAGTCAACCTTACATACAAAAGTGAGCACATATGGGGTACTCGTATTCCTTTGTCATCTCGCAAGGAATCTAAGAGATCAAAATAGGAACATGATCTTCTAATACATCCCTCTACACCATACTATCTTCAAAAAACATCCCTTGTTCCTGTACTCACAAATTCTCCACCAGATACAAGCTTGAGAATTGAATATTCTCCACCCCCTGCCCCATAACAGCTCTCTGCTAGCTCCTAACCTCGCCACAATTCTCAGAAACAGTGTACTTAATTTAAACATATATCAAATCCAAAGAAACCTACAATGTAAAAGCAGGTGCGTTGCTTCCATCTCCTGTTGTTGCATTAACAACATGAATGCAAATTCCACCATCCTTGAAGCTCTAGATCTGCATAATGATTTCCAATCGGGTATTGCTTTTACACATTCAACATAACTGAACATGATAGTATGACTTCACTGTGAAGTATTTACTAGATCACCCTTTCAAAAATCTGAAAATCATTCTCTCTGAACTGTGTGGGAAGAGGGATGTATAACCTCTGGGAGAATGTTTAACCTCTTCGAATTCCCAGCTCTGTAAGGTCTTACAAGAATAATCTCAAGTCACCTGCACATTGCCACTTTTATGGACCTCCACACCATGAACTTGTCACTCATAACAGAAAATGAATTTGGGAAGCCTTCTTTAGATGTGCTGTCACCATACGATACATCAAGCCAGAACCGTATTCAGTTTTAGAGTTCCCACATAGAATCCAATAAGCTTTGAAAAGATTAAATTCCCTTCATAATCCATTTGCCGTCCCCATAAGTAGTTCTCACCTCCTTAACATTCATATCAGTCACATCCATACTTCACCCAAATCACTTTCTTCCCATAGCATTCTCCTCGCATGCGAATCTCCTAAACTGTCTTCCCATAGTAAGAGTATCTAATGTACGAAGAGCTTGCTCATCCAGATGACGGGAATGAATCATTTTGTTTAACCTATCTCATTCTTAAAAGCTGACTTTAACAGGAATATAATGTTTTCCTACTTGGCTACAGCTGATGCATTCACAGCAGTGACACCTATGCCTTGGATCAAATTCATCTCTAATCATCACTAGTGTAAATGTTAGATTTGGCTGCTATAAATTCATTTCACCATTGCCATTAAAAGTAATATTCCCAAGAGAAGGAGAATAGCCATCCTGTCTGCTAAGCTGGATAACAGGATATCAACGTGCTTGACTTACATAATCAGAAAGGACCTGAGCATATCGGAGTAGATACCCAAAGATAATGATGCAGCGCATCTTTAGGGAAATATTCCCTGTCTTGAGAATAGATATTAGAATATATATAACACTCCAAACCTCAATATTTCCAAGACTAAATCTTCTAGGGACTAATAATAACTGCAGGAAGGTTACCTACATAAATCATCTTTAATTGCTTCAGCAGAAATGATGTCCTTCTACAAGCTTAACAACAAACTACCTGTTTTCTTGCACGGAATACTATACATCTGAAAATTGATGTAATATACAACCAAGTTCATTATTATGAAACAGCAGGAATACCTCATCATGTGTTGCATGGTACAGGAGATTATTCTGGGACAACGCAGCAACTGTTAAGATGAGTGCACATAACATCTTTGCCTTCATACTTGGCAGCATCCTACAACCAATAATAGAACATTAATAGAGGATGAAAAGCAAATGATAAAAGAAGATATAAGGATGTCTCACCATGACAAGGAGCTGAGGATGGAAAACATATTCCTAGGGATGCTAGTGACTCCTCGCTCAATGTTACCTGGAATGAAAATCCAGGAGATAAGGCAGTGCCACAAAGCTCATTGGAAGTATAACGTGATCCTCTATCGAAATTTTTTGACATCTAAACATCTAAGCACACTATCAATATCTTTTTGCCTATATTAATTATTAGTTAGGAAGATGTTACCTAACTCAAAATTTACTTTTCCATAAACTTCAGGCAGAAAACCGATTAATTCTTATCAAAAAAGAAATTCACTTAATGCAGTTCTTTGACAACGTTCTAGGACCTTAAGCAAAGTCAAATTATTTGTTCTCAATGCCAAATATACATCCAAATTAGATACTAACTGTGGCCAATCTTATAAAAATGCTTATAAAGATGAGCAAAGCAAATTGGATACCAACTGTGGCAAATCTTATGCAAGTGCTTATAAAGATGAGCAAAAAAGGAACATGTTCATCTCTCAGAGTTCAATTACTCCATACTGGCAACATAATTTCTACAAAATATAGAACCATAACTGATTGAAAACTATCTTCATCACATTACAAGCTCTATATTTCCATTTCTTCAGAGTTACCAAGAGACATTTCATGATCCTACTCCACAACTTTTTGCTTCTCCATCAATAAGTATTAGGGACCATCCGACCTAGTGGCTAGTAGTACTCTCTAGTCTCTCTATACACAAGACACTAGACCCTCACTATTAAGAATATTGTAACCAATATCGCTAATCAATTAGAAATAATAGTCCAATTAGTTAGATTGATCCTTTCCTGTTTTGGTACTTGTGCATTCACTATTTGAATTACAATAGCTTGAAGAGTCCCACATTGGATTAAAAAGGGATGAGTGGTCTCCTTATAGCCTTGCGCATCCTCCCCTCATCAGCTAGCTTTTGAGGTTGACTTAATTTCAAGATTCATTTCTTTGCATGATATCAAAGCCATTGTTGCCTTTTTGAGGTGAGTTATCTCCCTCGCAGCACTAGGGTTCCGTATTTATCAAAGAGGTCCAGTTTTCTGTCTTGGTTGGCTGTCCGCAACACAATCTCCTTCCGATCAGTTCCTTTTGGAATTGTTTTTTTCTCCATTGGGTCGCTGGAACGTTCCGAGCCTATTCCTACCAGCTTTGATTTATTTCGGCCACCATAATTAGGGTTCCGTAGTGGCAGCTACATTTAATGTGGGATCTACTTTTCTAACAACTTTTTCCGTTTTTCTTTTTCCATTTCTCACTTCAAAGGCTTGTTCCGAGTACATACCTACTGATATTGATTCTTTACCGATCACCAAAGTAAGGGTTCTGATCCAACAACTAGCTTTCCAACGACTTCTCCCAGAAATATTTTTTAGATCTCGGGTTGAAAACCTATTCCAACCCTTCCAATCCAAGTTCTGGAAGATTTAGTCCAGCCGTCTAGGCATAATTTTTCCGGCTAGATCAGGCAGATTCTATCTCAGGAAGGTTATTGTTTATTTCTGAATATCCGTGCTCAATTAAGGATCATTACTCGTTTAAACTATGGGTGATACGAAAATCATATATATATATATATATATATATATATAAGAGAACCCTAGGCCCGCCTACGTGGCGCCACCACAAACAAGAATTCCCTTTTAATTTATTTATTTCCAAAATTAGCAGTTGTGACTTTTAAAAAGAGTAGTGACTTTTATGAAGAATTGTGGTCATTCTGATAAGGCACAATAATCATTTGTTCACACTACCCGAGGGATTTCCTCTCATTTTAAAACAACGAAAATTCTAAATTTCTTCTTCGTCCGCACAATTAAATATTCGTGTACTTTGCTCTTGTTGAGTGGTTCACTGATATCACTGATTTTATATCAATACACTGGTGAATTAAATCGTTCTATCATGAGAAGATCTATTTCTTTAAACCTCGAGAACTAGAGGAAAATAATTTCCTTAAGGGGAAAATATGCATTTAGTAGGCTCAAGTTTTTTCTTTTGGTTTCATTCTATTGTTCAGATACTGGTATGATTTTTATAGTCATTAATTAATGCTTATGTTATTAATTGTTGTTTTTAGTACATATTTTAAACTTTGTTGTTTATGTTTATGCTTTTGATCATTATGTTGAAATAAAGATATGTTGATCAAGAGTTTGATGTAACCATTAGATTATTGGTGTCATGTAGATTAGAATTCTTTAACTTGTAAAATAAATGACTTTGATCTTTATAGAGTTTTTAGTGGCTAAAAAATCCATGAGATGTTTAAAAAGGGACTTTTGAGTGTTCAGAAGTTATGGTTGTTCCACATTACCTTGGAGTTTTAGTTATTCAACTTTCTATCTTATCGAGGTATTCAATCAATTAGTGACATCGAAAAAAAAACAGGAATGTAGTGGAATGGTAAGTATTTTACTCAACCTTAATCAAATGTTTGGAGTTCAAATTTCAGATTGGAGTCACTAATTTAGCCCTCAAAGTAGGATGAATCCATATCAATCAAATCTTAAAGAAGTAATTATCCCCTTATAAAGATTAGATTAAAAGTCAATTTTTTTTAAAAAAAGATTTTACCATATTGATTGAAACATAAACAACAAAATACGTCTTTTGGCTATCACTGCGAATGATTTTGAAAAAGGAACTTGCCAAGACATCATTTATCCAAATTATTTGAGCGACATACGCTATTTCATTGAACTCCAAGACATGTGTTTTTAAATTTTAATTAACTTATCAAGTAAAAAACTAATTACATAAGATGAATAAAATGTTTGTACCAGTTTTTGAAAATACAAATATAGACGATGAAACAATTATATATCTTTTCTAAAGACTTTGGTGATGAATAACTAGAGTAAAATGATGAGTTAATAACAAAATATTAAAAAAAATATTTCATTTTATCTCTACATAAAATATTCTCGACTACTTTTCGTAGGGCTGTACCCACTCGAAAACACTTAAATGATCAAATGTTCACAAGTAGATTATTAACGTAGTTTACCGCCGCGCGAAGCGCGGGCAATGTACCTAGTAGATAATAATTCTGTCTCAAATTAGTGCTGTAAAATTAGATGTGTCAGAATATTTATCTTCTCCGTTTAGTAGTTCTTTGAACTCTCATGGGATCATTAATCAAACATTTTACCCTTATACATCTCAACAAAGCTGAGAGGAGGAATAGGCATCTTATTGAGATTGCTCACATACTACTCATACAATCTCATGTTACATTACATTTTCGGGGATACAGTTCTCAAATCTTATTATCTTATTAATTGTATACTTTCCTCAAGTATCTCTAAATCAAGTTCCATATGCTGTTTTGTTTCGCTATTGATCTTGTTCTCTCTTCCACCTCATGTGTTTGGAAGTGTGTGTTTGGTCAATAACTTTACTCCGAGAAAAGACAAGTCAACCAATCATGTTCTTAAGTGCACATTTTAGGTTACTCAAGGGTGAAAATGTATAGTGACGTTACTCACTTGACCTCCAGTGGTTTATGCATGTTGATTTCACCTTGTTGAACACAACCATACTCAACTCTCCTCTTCTGACAACCTAAACATTTTTTAGGTGTTACCACTTCCATGTTTGGGGAATTCTGTCATTATCTTTCCTTCATCTTGTCTCACAATTCCACCATCTATAGTTCACCGCCCACAGTTCCATCATTTACAACTTCACTACTCTTGATGTGAGCATGCAACATCAAGTAGATGATTCAGGTCCTGTATCAGATCCTTCAACTACTACATACTCTTCTCATAGTCGACCCTTTGCACTTTGGAGAAGTATTTGATCCACTCGTAACCTCAACCCCCTTTATACATGTTTGAGTTGTCATCGGCTCTCATCAGCTCATTATGTCTTTGTGCCATGTTTATCCTATGTTTTTATCCTCATGTCTACAGGTAAAACAGTCTCTCACCCTGGATTTCAACTTGTTTTTTTTAAGAAGGTAACAGTCTTGTATTATATTCCAAAAAATCAAACCTGCCACAACTTGTTACAGGTTTACTAATTACGAATAAAAGGAGAGTATCAGGAAGATCTTCAATCCCAAATAACAAAAATTACAAAGTGCCTAAAGCATTCATTACAGATTCTAGATCTTCCATATACTCCTGTTTACACCAAAAATGAAATAAAACCAAGCAATTCATCTTCATCTTCTGGAACTGTTACTTTAGTTCTGGAAGCATATGAGGTTCCTCTCTTTCCACACAGACCACCAGATACAGGTGCTGATGATCTTCCATCTTTCTTTGTGACCAGAAATGTAAGCAAAGCTACTCCATATCTTCAGGGCCTGGACAATATTTCTTAGCATCACCCAAAGTAGGTCCTTCAAATTGACGAAAATAATCCACAAAATATTAGTGATCCTACAGTGAAGAAAGAGGTGGTTGACTGTTTCAGCCTCTTCTCCACACAGGGAACACCTAGGACTCAGTTGGATACCCCTTTTCATGAGGTTCTCCTGAGTCAAGACAGCCTGCTTCGCTAGTATCCAAGTAAAGCAGGACACTTTAGGAGGTATTTTAACTTTCCAGATAAGTTTCGATGGCCAGCCAGTAACTTGATGGGTGAAAGAGTTGAACTTTTTGTAAGGTTCCTTCACACTGAAATTTCCGTTGCTTTTATGATTCCACAACAATCTATCTTGGGAGGTGGAGGTTCCTTTGAATTGTTCAAGGATTCCAAAGAAGTCTACTAGTCTTTGGATCTCCCAAGCATTTAGGGGTCTTCTAAATCTCAATCCATCCCTGATTTGACCAAATTCCCCAGAGTGTCTTTTTGTTGTTGGTTCAGATGTAGATATCTGGAAGAGAGTTTTTAGGGAGCCTTGTTCTAACCAGTTGTCCTCCCAGAAGAAGACCTTCATGCCATTTCCTATTCTAATGCTGCAATTTTCTCTTAATTTTGGCCAAAGGTTTCTGATGGCCCTCCAGATTCTAGTTCCATAAGTACTAGTGACCATTTTGGTAGACCAGTTATCCTCCATTTCATACTTCTGCTTGATAAGTTCTTTCCATAGTGCTTGTTCACTGTATGCTAGTCCCCATAGGATTTCAACTTGTACTAACGAGGAGATATCTGCTTTACCCAATAATAGTACTTGGGATCTTGTTTCTCATTCGGGTGAATTTAAATTGGCTGTCCGCAGGTTTATAGTCAAATAGTCCAGGTGATCAAACAGATGGACTTAAGACTTGCCTTGTGAGCAAAGATTACATTTTGATATTCGGGCTTTGATTACAATGATACTCTCACCCATGCAAAAATAATTTATTTTCATCTTTTTTCCATCCACGGTGATACTGATATTTGTCATGACCTCCTAGTTGGACATTAAGAATGTTTTTCTCCATGATCTTGAGGATTGAGGCTAATATAGAGAAATCACCTGACTTTGAGCCTGTTTGGATGTGCTTAAAAGCTAGTCAAACTGACTTAAAAGTAAAAAATGACTTATTTTAAGCCAAAAGTTAAAAGTCAGGTGAGGGGTGCTTTTCTTTTTCCAACTTAAAACTCATTTATGTTGACCAAGTATATTACCTTTTGCCCTTAATTCTTTTATTATTATCATTCTTATTTATAATTATTATTATTATTATTGTTATTATAGTTATTATTTTTTTAATTATTATTATTATTATTATTATTATTTATTATTATTTTATTTTTATTGTTTTTATTATTATTATTTTTATTAATATTATTATTATTATTATGATTTTTATTTTTATTCTTATTTTTGTTATTATTATTATTATTATTATTATTATTATAATTACAAAAAAATTGTGATGATAAAGAAATATGTGAATGATAGGAAATATTATTACTTATGAATGTAAAATATAAATTAATTTTGTTTTAATTTTTTAAGTATAAAAACCTTAAATTAATCAACTTTTTATCATGTTAACAACTTTAAGGGCATTTCAGACATTTTTATAAAGAAAAAAGTGTTTACCAGCACTTATTTGCCAAACACATCAACAACTTTTTTTTCAACTGAAGCACTTTTATCCAAACACATACCTACTTATTTTAAAAATAAGTTTCAGCACTTTCAAAAGTACTTTTTAAAAGTTGCTTTTTTTAAGCCCATCCAAACGGGCTCTTTGTCTCTCTGGGGAGTCACTTATTGCGACGATCACTTTCTCGTCTAAAACAGTCCCCTCAAGCCTGATTTGGTAAGTTCATCTCAATTAAGCAGTTGGCATGAATTTTAGTGCAACTGATCATTATGAGTTTTATACAGTATTCTTCTCTTAAGTCTTTGAATCAACTTAGTGGGTTATGTTTGATATAGTCATTATTGGCAATGATCAAGATGGTATCACTGGATTGAAGCAATATATCTTTCAGCACTTCCAAACTAAGGGTTTCCTGGATTGAAGTATTTTCTAGGTATTGAGTTTGCTCTGTCTAAGTCAGGTATTGTCAATTCACAACAGAATATGTACTAGACATTCTTGAGGAGACGGGAATAACAGGAAGTAGACATTTCCGTATGGAAGGGCTCTTGCTCAATTCACACTCTTATGGACCCAAATGCTAAGCTTCTGCCAAGATAGGGGAGCTCCTGCAAAGATAGGGGAGCCCCTTAGTGATCCTGAAACATATAGGTGACTGGTTAGTATGTTGAACTACCTTGTAGTGACTCCTGACATTGTTAATCATGTAAGTGTTGTAAGTCTATTTATGGACTGTCCAAGTGCTGGTCATTGGAATGTAATTGTTCATATTTCTTCTATATGAAAAAGGACTACCTTTTGAGGATCAAAGTCATGTTCAGATCATAGGATACATAGATGTGGATGGGCAGGATCACCTTCTTATAGACGATCTACGTGTGGATATTGTGTTCTACTAGGAGGTAATTTGATATTTTAGAAGAACAAGAAACAGAATGTAGTTTCTCAAGCTAGTGCAGAAAAAATAAAATCAGGCAATGGTTGCGGGCAACTTGCCAACTAATTTGGATCAAACAGTTGATCAGAAGTTAGAATTTGGAGATATCAATCAAATGAATCAAGCTTTGATTCATATTGTATCAGATCTGGTTTTCTATACCAGACTAAACACTTCCTTTTATAGAGTTTCCTACTTAATTAAAGCAATTTAGACCATGGTCATTGGGGTTTCGGAAAATTCAGACTTGTTCTGATTTGTTCTAGCCTACTACATATATCTATATGCAGTTTGTGCAAATTAACTCTTCACACTACAGGTTCACCAGGTGGCCATTCCCAAGCAATTGATATTACTATGTCTTGCTTACAACATGTTGTGCTAAGTTCCAAGATGACAAGACACAGACATAACAAAGGATAAGCAAAATAGAAGAATTGAAGAGGAACAGATCAAAAACCTGGAATCATAACAATAAGACTGCAAAATTTGCATAATGTTGATTGAAACCCATCAATGTCCTTGGGCATCCTTGATCCTGCAGATAATGTTATTACAATTCAATATTTTACCACGGAAAACCATGATAAAGCTGGGGTGGAATATCTTAATCTGGTTGCTTCTTGATACAGCAGCATGCATAACCTCTCAAATTCAGACAAAGAGGCTTCACAACAAATGCAAAAGACATGCTAGTTTGAGTATTTGATCAGGTTTTGCGCCAAAGATATACAGGATCAAACATGAAAAGATCTTGGAGAACTCAGGTAAAATGATTCAGCATATGCGCTCCACACAATTATTGCACCTTGTTACTGCTCTGACACTGAGAACTTTTGCCTTGTCTTTTCCTCTTTATTATCTTGTCATCATATTCACTAACATTATCTCCAACAGTTCAAAAGGCAAACCCATATCCCATTCCCCAACAACTTGAAACTTCATATACAAAGGCTAGAATCACGGAGCATCTCCAAAACCTCTAAGCTGCACACACCATTTGGTGCAAGTAATTTTTTTTATTAGTTGTAAAATGTGAATAGTGGCAACAAGCACTTCAACTATCCTCCTAACTGACCATGAGCAGAATGTGATTCTCATAAGCTCGACTTCATTGTTGTTCTCAATAATAAACTGAGATGCTTAATTATCCATTGCGGGTGTTATGGTAGTCAGCTTTCTACTAATGTTAAAGCAAGTGAGAATGAAACTGTGTTACCTTTATTATTAAATATTTAGTCACCTATTATATATATCGTACAGGATATTCGAGGCAATGACGATATAAACTTCCTCGGAATCAGGAAAGGAACTAAACTCCAAAGTCGGTTTCAAAAAGTTATTGTAAGTGATACATTTAAGGGATAGGGAGAGAAATAGAGAAGGCTCGATTGAATCTTGTTCAGTGCAAATCTACAATTTCCAGTTTACTACTAATATGCACTGAGCCATCTGGAGAATAATTCATAGACAGTGATAATTCATAGACAAACCTTCAAATAAGTCAACATTATGCAAGCACCTCAATGCTGAATCAACAAGTCCATCTGAGTTAGAAACTAAACCAGCCATTAATGCAACCTAAGAGACCAAACAAATTAAATTCATCTGAATTAACAGCAGCGCAAATTAAGAATAAAGAAAGAACTAGCATTACCTCTGCAGTTTCCAAGTAGAGGTTTAACTGTTTCAGATGAGATGGGATAGATGATATTGTAACTTCACTGCATGCTATACAAGATTTGACAAAAATGACATCACTAATGTCATTCCGTGTAGCTTTAACCACCAGTAAATTGCTGGAATGAACAATCATTTCCTGAAAAAGCAGAAGTTACATCTTACAGCCAGTACAATCTTGGTACTGATGAATACAAAGTTACCTTACGCAAAATGAGAAGCAGAAGATACGAGACTCATCAACAAGGACTACTTGGAGAAATAATCAGTTTAAAAAGATCTAAACCAAGCTTAAAACTTTCTACTATGTCCAAATTCTACACCATGCTACCTAACAAGGCAGCCAAGTGGGAGCTTGATAGTAATGTTAAAAGGAAACAATGCAAAAACCTACCACCTCAGTCCCATGTTAGTTGGTGTCAGCTCTATGAACCCTCATATAAATAGCATTCCTTTAGACTTGTTGCAGTCCAATATTCAATAATTTTTGTTTTGGAACACTAGAAATTTATCTATACTTTTATACTTCCTTGCAAAATTATAAGATTCCATGAGTCAATGTACTTGTATCAGCATACCAATATGACCAAGCCTTAAAATTAATTGCTCCCTTTGTTCCATTATATATGACACTCTTTCCTTTTTAGTATGTTCCAAGAAGAATGACACTATTCTGTAACTGTATACTTTTTAACTTTAAACTTCCTGTTTTACTTAAATGAAATGCTTTTAAAACCACACAAATGCCATGGCATGTTTAAATCCTTAAGTTGTAAAACCACATAAATGTCATGGCATGTTTAAATCCTTAAGTTGTAAAAGTCTTTCTTTCTTTCATAAACTTTGTGCCAAGTCAAATACCGCATATAAACCAACGGAAGTAGTTGATATCACCTATATGGATATTTTCCTTCTACTGTGTTCTAATTTTTGCTAAATTTAAAAGGGATTCCAAGAAATTGTAGTTATTTTGAGACAATTTCCTATCACGTATGTGATTTAGGTCCCTTTTAACACAGAGTGATGCAAGTAATGTTAGAAAGTAAAGGGCCTTTTTGACTTGTTTATAAATAAAGAACCTTCAATAACGTTTTCATTTTTGTGGGAAAAAAGGAGTAATTTTGCATGGATTAACTCATCAAACTTACGTTTATTACAAGTCATGAAGTGCAATTATAGTGAATCAATTTGCTCCTTTTCTGGGTTAAAATGAAGTATTTATTAATATTACACAAAGTTGGTGTTGTCTAGTACAAATGTTTTACACATTACAAGTACATATTAAGCTTCCAAAAGATCAACCAATATTTATACGAGTTGCAAGTCCCTGTTTACAGAAAAAATATAGTTTAGTTAAAAGAGAACTCTAAATATGCAACGAGTTGTCAATCCTTTCAAAAGTTATTTGTTAACTTTACCTTCTACCTTTTCCATGAAAGATTAGGAAACAAATTTGTTAACTTGCAAAAGTCCATGTTGCTTGACCCAAAGTAAACACTCTTCTGGAAAAATATTAATTCAAAGTTAATGACCTCCATTATTTTGCTATTAATTTAATCTGCTTATCCTCCATGTCTGTAAAGGTTACAAGAGTTCACCATACTATCAAAGTTAGACTAATAACAGGAAACTTTTGTTTACGTATTAAATAATTTATTATGTTCACTGCAGGATGACTATAGAGAAGCTTTTCTTCACTTACCTTATCATCAGATATTAAATAATAAACGGATAAGCTTTTCTTTGCATATCCCATGGTTCAATTGTTTCTAACTGTAATAAAAGATTTAGGAAATACCCTAATAGAATGAATATCAGTTATTTGAGTCTCCAGCTTCCTGTGCACTGCACTTCCCTTAAAGTAGTACTGCTTTAGCTGCATAAGTTTGATCTTTTCTTTGGCAAATTATTACTACAATCCCTAACACTAATCTAAATTTTCCTTGACATATCATGAGTGTTAGTTGAAACAATTAATGTAGGTAAAAATGTGGACAGTCAAGATAAATATTTCCTAACATCCTTCAATATTTCTATGAAGGAAGACTTCATAGCTTTGTGAGGAAATACTCCACTACACTAGAGCACTTCCAATGTACAGGGCAAAACAGATTAGGGAGAGGGCAAAGTGTCATAAGATCACTATTACATGCACCACATCCAGTAATAGGCACACCAATATGCACACATACACAACTCAACGGGGAGAGGAAGTACATTAAAGGTCTTTCAGGTAAACTGGAAAGACAAGTTCTCTTCAAAAAGACACAAATAATATCATACCCCAACTGACAGGGATAAAAAGAACCAAGGAACAAGAAGTAAGAGTCGAGGATATTGTAAACCTCTACAAAGTGACCTCACATTCATATAACAGAAACATAAAAAAGAAATGACATAACCCAAAACTGTCCCCTATGCATAATTCATGGAAGCAAAGAATAAGCAAGATTTTTCAGTAATCCATTCTGGATATTTTCACATATTTTAGAGAACATTAACCTTGACTTCACTCATGCTTCCAAAAGCTCCACGGCACTGAACCAAAAAATCTAAGTGGAGTTCAACTTCAGAATCATAATCAACCTGAATATTATGATCAAGAAATGTATTAGAACAGGTAAAGGACTAATGTGTTGTAGTTCACATTTCTTGACCAATCAGCAAGAAAAGGAATATTATTTGCAAACAATATTTCATTACCATGTGTATAAAACGAGAAACTAAATGTGCTGAATGGTTGTTCTCCTTTTCCTTAATAGTTGAGAGATTTATGCTATCATGCAAGGACCTTGAAACTTCAAAAAGGAATTGAATGGTTGTAGGATCTCTAATACAAGAATTCCTAACAGAAAAAAAGAAGATAATTGACAATTATATTTCCATCAGAGAAACTGACGATTTGTTTTCATTTTCCAAAAAAGATATCTTCCTAAGAAAACCATCAGTTACCTTTGCAGCAAATTAAACATCAGCTATGTTCAATAGGAAGATTTTAAGGCCAACAATGTGGTATAAGGGTGAATGTTGGGCCTCTAAAGCACATGTTCACAAGGTTAGTTCGCACATATGTGAATATTAAGATGGATGTGCGGTCATACAAGGTCAGATAATATCCGAAATTATCATATCCATCAGAAGGTGCAAGTAACGTATACAGAGAATAAAAAGAGAGAATTTCGCTTGAGCTAATTTGACGACATGTTAGGTTGGCCTGCCTCTAGATGCACCGGCTCTTAGATGTGAAAAAATGATGATTGCATGTTTTAAAATCAGTGTTGTGAAAGGCGATCGCCTCGTCGCCAATGGCGAGAGGCAAGGCGACCCTTCATCGCCTTTTAGCTTTGTGGCGAGGCGATCTTCAAAAGGCAACACGATGGTGACAAAGGTGAGAGGCAAGAAAGGCGTCACCTTTTGTATTTCTTTTAAAAGGCAATCAGTTTAGGGTTTTAGAAGTTAAAAGGTAATTTTATGTTTTTGACTAGACTCTTGGGGTGACCAGCCAAAATTTTCCGACGACTCCAAAGTCCAACCAATACGTTGTTCTTCTTTTTCTTTTCCTTCTTCTTCAGACTTCAGAGTCACTTCTACCCTTGTTTTTTTCACTGTTTTGACTTTTCCACTGTTTCTTTCTCATTCAAGTTCCAGGTATGTATTATTTTTTTTTCAGTTTTTGAATCGAAATATTTGCTAATGTTATTTCTATTGAGATTTTGATTATTTATATATACAATTTAAATATTTTAATTTTTTTTTGTATTAATTGGGCCGCACTTCAAAAAGGCAAGCGTCTTGCCGCTCGTCTCGCCTTGTACTGAGGCAGACCCTTGTTGCCTTCTATCGCCTTTCGCCGTCCACAACACTGGTTAAAAGAAGAGGAGGTAGGTCTAAAAAATTGAACTCAAAAGATTAAGAATGTTGGGATTCAGGGAGATCTAGCAATAGATAGAAACAATGGAAGTTGAGGATTTCTATCAGTTATGTCAACTCAGGATGGGTACTGAAATTTTATGGACCAATTTTCAAGAGAATCTTTCAGGATGTTCCGATGAGCAATTATGATAATGAAGATTTCAAACAGTTGATCCAACTAGCTTGGGATTGAGGTGTGGTTTTTGTCGCTATACTTTAATTTCTCATCAACAATGAGGAGGATGCATATTATTTTTAGGTGAAATGGCAATGAACTTCCCCATCTGAGGGATCATAATTGTTTAGCCATCACACACATTCTAAAGATTCAGTATACTGTTTATGTAATACATACAAATACATACAGGTGACTACAGCAAAGAGAGAACAAATACATACAGGTGACTACAGCAAAGAGAGAGCTCCAGCTTCATGTACCAGTATAAATGCTTAATGTACTTTCCTTAAAATGGTTAAGGGAATATTGTTTGGACAATCAAAGTGGTCATTCCCTTCCCTCTTTTCTAAATACTGAACTTAGACAAAAGAGAAAAATATCCATTTTCTTATAGAGACCATGCATATCCTTAAGATAAGACTATACAAAACAACCCTGTTAGGCAGATTGACCAACAAGAAAATTTTGTGATCCATGATAGTTAAGAGTATACTGTTTCTACATGGATCACAGAGTGCGAGAAGTGGTTATCATCTTAAAATTTTATCCAGGGTAGGTGAGTCATCCAGGTCTTACACACTGACTTTAAACAATAGGAGCTCTTGCTTTCCGTCTTAAATGGGGCAAGGGATATACCTATGCAGGAAGAAATGCTGCAGATCATTGCTCAATAAAACAAAAATTGGAATTTAAACACACCTTTGGTCAAAACAGTTATACCTTGTAGCAATACTAAGGATCTGCGTATTGACGATGGTCCTAGAGCTCCCCTGCATCACGCTTAATATTTGATTGAAATGGTTCTGCAAAATGATGATGGTAGATCGGCTCAACATTAAGTGATTCAGATCCCCTTCTACGACTATATTATAGAACTGATTGCAGGGCCCAATTTACAAATAATCATGTCTATTGATGATTGTTTATCATATTTTTATCTCACAACAGCATAAGGTATGAAATGACTAGTAGAAGCATAGGACAACTAAGAAACAACAGTAAAAGGAAAATGAATTTAAGCAACCACAAAGACAAGTAGCCTACCAATCGCAATATGTTCTCAAGGTTATCAAAATGATTTAGAATCTTCAGAAGAATTGATTGGAGGCTTGATAGTTCATTCTCACCAATCTCATCATCTAATGTGCGCTCAAATATTCCATCTAATATGCTGTCCAGATAACTATTCTGCGCAGAGGACAGAATTAGAAAAAATAGCTACACAAACAATTAGCAGCATGTTTTGGCGCTCTCATGTCCAAGGAGAAGATAACAATTAATATACTATCATCATATAGAAATATCAATTCAGATGCAATCAAGATAAATTTCATAGTTGGTAATTGGTGCGGTAGGCAAGTTGACCTGCTTGACTGTGAATAGTGGCCGCGAAAGACTAAATTACCTAATGAACCCCATGTCATATCACCAGCATGGGACACTCCAACTATTCTATCAGCTACTCAATCCTAACATGAGCTCCAAGATAGAAAACACTAGGTTGTACAAGCATAGGGATAACATATGGTAATCATAAATGTAGTATGGTAAAAGGATAATGGTTGGTGATATTTTCTAGTATTAAAGCTGACAACAATATTTAAATATTAATTGAATCATTTCCACTGTATCAAACACATCCAAATAAGAAAACAAAGAAGAACATAATAAACACGTCAAACTTAACCAATCATCAAAATTCTCTCAACTTACCATGTGTTTCTGGAGAGCGATATCTACATGAGCGTCTACAACATTGAGGTACTCATCAAGGCTATTAAACTGAGAAACAACCTGAAATTATAAATAAATAAAAACTTGGTGAAAAAGCATTATAGAGGAGAACCAAGGCTGTACAAGCATAGGGAATCTTTTGAGATTAACATGTAGAAAACTGAACCCAGATAACAAAATAAAAATAAATTAAGTGAGCATACATTGAACTTTTTTTTTTGCATGTATGTGGGTGGGTGGGGGTGGGGCTATAAGATTGTAAAAAGTTATGCTTCATGTAGTATAGAGTCAATGTCCTATACCCAGTAAATATAGCTCATAAATTGTAAGTGAGACTGTAGTCTTTCAGCTCCTTGTTTATCATTTTGTGACTGATCCAACTTGCATGCACTTTGACTATTTCACTGAGTACATATGTAGAGTAACTTTGCCACCAAACTAAGGCAGATGAAAAGGAATCTCTAAATTTTTAGCCTTTGTTAGGATTTGAACCAGTTTCTCCCACGATCTTCATTCAGCTTCACTAATAGCTAAGTCACACTCTACGGTGCTTCTTGTTTATCTTGTTTCTTACATGGGATTAGATCTGAACCCGATGAGTTTGACTGTACATAGGTGAAAAAGTCAAATCTTAAGATTTTGGGTTGAAAGCTTCCGTATCAATGAAGTTTCTGGTGTCAGTTTGGGAAAAGTCCGACTTCAAACAACATATCTCCTAGAATATAAATTATAAAGTGTTACACGAACCATAACCCATCAACTTATAGGTTTTTGAGTCTAGTTTTCAACGCAGCAAACCTTACCTCAAACCAATATTTGTGCAAGAAGTTATGCTCATTTTACTGGACACTGCACAGTCTGCGCGATCGTGCAGCCAATCTTGCAAGGAAAGCACTGCTACTCATTGTTGCGGATCAAGGTATCAGCTACGCGACCGCGCACGTAAAACCACAATAAAAGCATAGCAAGGTCATAGTTCACCCTCAAGTCCGAAAATTTTCCCTAAAAAGAGCAGCTCTCAAGAACCCAACTTTCCCCTAGGTTCATCTATCATCCAAGGTAAGATTTGACCATAGAATATTGATGATTTCTTCATCCTAACACAAATTAGTACCTCCAACTAATGGAATCCAAAGATTTTCAAGTAAACTTCTCAAGAACTCAAGTGAAGGATTTTGCAAAGGTTCTAGAGGTAAGAAATCATCCACGAACTACCATGTAGACTTTAATGATTCTAACCTAAAGTTATGAAATTCTAACAAGGTTCTTCACAAGGACATCCTAGGGTTTTCAAGAAAACCCACCTCCAAGGTTTAAGAACAACTTCTTCCTATCTTTTCCTCCAAAGACCAGACCTTTCTCAAGAATTTGGAGCATTTAAGGTATGTAAGGTTATCCGCTACGTGTGGGAACACCTTCTAATCTATAATTGGGATGGGCCCCACTATGATACCATGTAAGGAAATGGATCTTGAGCCTAACTCAACCCCAAAAACTAGCTCATGAGAGGAGGATTGCTCAAATCCATTTACAAAGACCATCCATCCCTTTTTTATCCAATTTGGAACTCTTCAACAGTCTGCATTACTCCAACAAAAAGATTATTACAATACTCAAGAACATGAGCAATTGTTGGATATAAAGACGCAGATTAGGCCTAGCCGCCCTCTGAAAGATTTCTACTTCTGGATATTACCTTTTAGTTGGAGGAACTTTGGGATCATGGATGATCAAGAGAAAAAGCAGGAACTAAAACACAACTGCGAGCCTTGGTGTAAAAGAAAAATATCAAACAATGCTAGTGGCAACAATTTGCAAGCTTTGTTGATCATACAACTAATCAAAGATTTGAAGTTTGCATATTGGTCAAATGAAACTTGTTTGTGATAGTCAGACTACGATTCATATTACATCAAATTAAGTCTTTCTCACAATGACTAGATGCAGTATCGTCTTCCTAGTAATTGTTGTAAAATAGTTATTGGACCCTCTGTGAGATGCTTATTCAGACACAATGGTCTGATCCTTTGGTTGACAATATCTACTCAAACAAAAATATTACTTTACAAGAATCAATGACATGAGAAAATTGCTAGGTATGTAGACACAGATTTGGCCAAGTCACCCTTTGAAAGACTTTCTACTTTTACAGGTGGATATTACATTCTAGTTGGAGGATATGCGGCATCATGGATGAGCAAGAGAAAAACACGAAACAGAACACGATTGCAAGACTCGGTGCAAAAGCATGATATCGAACCATGGTCGTGGGAATTTGCCAACCTTTTTGGTCAAACAATTAATCAAAGATTTGAAGTTTACATATTGGTAAAATGGAACTTGTGCACAATAATCGGACTATGCCACATATCACATCAAATTTAGTATTTCATTAGAGGAGCAACTGCATAATGTCAGTTTGTCAGAGAAAAGCTACTCTCATAAGACATTCCACTTAGTTAATAAAGTCAAATTACTCAAGTTGCAGAAATATACCAAGTGCCTTGCAAGTCTTTAGGTAAAACAAGTTTGGTACATACAAGTTGTATAGACCAACTACAGGGGAGTGCAAAATATAGTTAAGTTTAAATAAGTATATTCAGATGTAGCATAGAGTTACTATCCCACCTGTGATGATTACAGCTATGTACATTGTAAAATGTGACTATAAAAGAATTTAGGAAGAAACAGTAGTCTTCACGCCTCATTTCATTTCATAATTTATCGTAGTCCTCACAAAGATAAATTATTTAACAAAAAAAGAGAAAGAAAGAGCACCTCCCATCCCAGCCCTCAAAGAAACAGAGTACTAAACAAAGGCTTGAAAGGAGACACTGCACTACCTGGATAACCTTCTTCATCACGAGATTGACTTCATTCACATGAGATATGTTTTCGCATAGTCTGAGTCCCAGTAACTTATAATTCAAACACTGTATGGACAGAAATGATTTTAGGCATAAACAGAACCAAAAGCTTCAAGAAGCAGCAACACACGAATCTCAGGATAAAATACCTGATCGAAGGAGTAATCGTTGCTACACTCAATGAGATGAAGAATGTCCAAGGCATTAGAACAAACTATTCTTATAGGAAGTTCCCTTAATAAATGGTGGAGAACAAGTGAGACGCATGATGAGTTTCCAAATAACTCTGATTGATTCCTCGCAAGTCCAAGCCCCATCAATATGTCTCCAATTTGCAACAGCTTCACATATGCATTACAAGTCAATAGGTTGTTACAAAGTATCTAGATATCTAATTTGCATTTCCTGTAACAGCAAGTGATGTGGACAAAAGAAAGAATTCCTCTCTATTCTAGCAACATTTTAGTTATTTATTACTCAAGATTTTGAGTCAAAAATCAGGCACAAGAGGAAGGTGCTTCAAAGTTCTCTTTTTGTGCTTGTGCATATCCGTAAAATCATTAATTGGTCACCGAATGTGTGCTAGAAGATTAAAAGATTACTTTCTGCTGAGAAGAGAAGAAAGAGACCTAGGTTGGTCGATTGGGCAGTTCTGATTTGATATCCCTTCTCTGGATTGAGGTTTCGCAATTAATGAGAAAAAGTTGGTAATTAAGGAACGTGCAACACAATTTCATTCCCAGCAGGGGAGTTTTTTTTTATTCTTGTACTCATCATACAATTGTATTTCTTATTTGAAGTAATACTAATTGACATAGAGAGAAACTTTTGTATATCATAAATTATTTATCAGCACAATCTCGTTCCAAGAGAGAACAGGTCATACATCTCAACCTCACTCCATCTTGAAAAGCAATAGAGAACCTTATAACTTGTAAAGAAATGGATTTGGGCCTAACACAACCCCAAAAGCTAACTCAAGAGGTGAGGATTGCCCAAGACATATTATTAAAGACACCACTCACTCCATAAAGGGCCGATGTGGGACTCTTCACAACCCCCACCACCTCCAAGACTGGACATTTGGTGCATGCACAATTTGATACAGGGGCCCAATATAGGAACAAGAGTTGGAATGGGTCCTTCTCTAATACCATGTTATGAAAATGGACATTGAGCCTAATTCAACTCCAAAAGCTATCTTATGAGGGGAGGATTGCTCAAGTCCATATAAGGAGCCCAATTGGGTAATTCTGTCATTGATACCATGTAAAAAAATGGATCTTGACTGAACTCCAAAGGTTAGCTCAACATGTGAGGATCACCCAAGCCAACTTAAAGATCACTCATCCCTACAAGGGTCGACGTTGGACTCTTCACATAACTTTTTAATAGGAGCACAAGCTTTTTCAACTTGGGAAAACCTTCATAAGCCAATCTCCTTGTAATTTCTGCTTTTGATGGAACTCAAAGTCTTTTTCTCATGAGTAGTTCCAACATCAAAACATGTACAAGTCACCTGAATTATGAAAATACTCGCGCAAGTGAGAAGATTAGGATATCTACATGTATTGTGGGAAATAGTCTACTCTGCTGCTAAGATAGACGTGTACCTATTTTTCTCCCAATAACAATCATTTTCTGAGCTTTCACATGATGTGTCCCTAAGAAGTCTTTATTTCATCAACTCAGGTCTTTTTTGTTTGCATTTAATGTAGGTCGAAATCTGAATGGTTCAGACCTAAGGAAATTAACTGCAAAGGGGCCAATAGAAACAAATCCTACAAACTTTAGGTCATGACTCATATATCGCTATGTTTTTATGAAATGACAATTACAAATCTATTTTTGTGGAAGTTTTTGCCTTTTGATCAAAGACAAACAGAACATATTTCAAAATTTAGAATTTCTTTTGTAGCTCAATTTAATAATTTTGAATTCTTTTAGCCGAATCCTAGTACCTGTATCCATACATAAATCCATACCCCTGAATCTTAAAATTTAGATTTTTCTGAATTCGAATTTGCACCTGAGTCCGAGTAACGGCCCCTAACATATACATCTCTTGCCCATTTCCCCTGTAACCCATCATTTCAGACCCCTCACCATCTGAATGCCCATATCTCTCTTCCCCCACTCTATAGCGGCCAGCTACCTCAATTTCGAGTGGACCCTACTCTGTTCTCTCCTCCTTCCATCTTTCCTCTCTCTCTCAACCCACTTGTTTCCTTTTCCTCACTCCTTTATTTTTTTCACCCTCCCTTTACTACCCAACCTTACTTCACTATCTTTATCTTTTCCCTCCCTCCGTAGTCTGAATTTGCTCCCTGCTTCTTCTTCCCTTTCCTTCCCGAACCTGATCTCCCAAAGAGAACCTTCTTTCCCTCTGTCTATCCACTCCACTGCTGTTGTGCCAACACTTTCCCCGTCCCACAGATAATCTACATCTGGCTCTGCCAATCACAATGCCCAACTCGCTGAACGCATCCTGATAATGCATCATATGTTTTGTTTTTGGTTTCTTAATGAGGTTATCATAACACCCTTTCACATATTAAAAGGACAGTTAATTCTACTAATGGCATTATAAAAATTAAGTAACTAGTGATTCCAAACCTCAGAGCCTTGTTTAAATAGTAAATGCATCTTTCTGAATGTGAGAAAACATCAAGGCACAGCACGCCTTGCTGGAAGCAAAACAAGAAACAATAGCTGCTAATTACCAACCTCACATGACTCCTTGAACAAGCATTTCATAACATATTCTATAGCTGGTTCCATCAGGCCCAGTTTTGAACTTCGAGTTCCTGATAGAGCTCCAGATGGTTTCTTTGTAGATAAAACATGTGCACCATTCATCAGAAGAATTTTCATGTCATTCATAGAAATTATCAGAAGCCCTGTGAGAAAAAACAACATGAATCATTCAAAAAATACTAAACGATAGCATATCAGCTCACCACAGATGTAATACTTCCCCCAAAATATAAGCAATCAACTCCACCTTACATTAACTGGATCTGCATTTTCTGACACTCAGTTTACTCAATAAATGAATAATGCTCAAAAGTGGTTCAAAAATTGCATACAGTTCAGCAAAAGGTAGTTATCTAGAGGGGCAAAAGTCAAAATCACATTTTCCCGTACTTATCAAAAGAACAAAAGAAGATCACATTTCCTATATCTTGGCTGTGAGATTAGGGTAGTATGTGGATTGTCTACCATCTAGCAGTTGCAGCATTCTACTTCTTCAACACAAAACAACAACATACCCGGTGTAATCCTACAAGTGCAGCCTGGAGGTTTGTGTGTATGCAGGACTTACCCCTACCTTTGAGGGGTAGAGAGACTTGTTCCAATATAGAAATTGTAAAGTCCTTGACACAGAAAGGATCGCAGAAGGAAAGAACTATTACTTTGTTCTTGACAGTGAATATACAATCCAAACAAACACTTTTATAGAAGTTTGTTAAGAAACTGTAAATATGATTGGAGGCAGATTCAAGATTCAAATTTGAAAATTTTGACTTCAAGGTTTTTTGTGCGGAACTCATTGTATTTTTTTAATCTGACTGCAGATCTATTATTTATCAAAATTTGGTTTACTCTTCACATATATATTTACACTATGCGACGGAAATACTGGGTTCAGTTTAACCTGCTACTCAAAGGCTGCATCCGCACTGAATATGACTGAAATATATATTTTTTAAACATGGAAAGATTTAGAACTCCTCTTTCATAGAATTAGGAAGATTTATACGGTTGTATCACTTGTACTATATGATTTTTCTTTTCCTTTTAATATATCTTGTTATCACAAGACCCCACTTTGAGGATTACATTCGTAATTAGGAAATGAGGATGTTGAGGTGGATGTGTGGTCAAACTAGGAGGGACAAGATTAGAAATGAGGATATCTAGAATAAGGTGGGTTGCCCTCCATGGTGGACAAGATGAGAGAGGCGAGATTGAGATGGTTTGGACATGTAAGAGAAGATGCATAGATGCACCAATAAGGAAGGTGCGAGAGGTTGGCTATAGAACACACGAGGAGAGGCATAGGTAGGCCAAAGAAATATTGGGAAGAGATGATAAGACATGATAATTAATATGACGCAGCTTCAGGCAACCAAGGACATCACCCTAGACAGGAGGGTGCGGAGGACTAGCATTAGGGTAGAAGGATAGTAGGCACTGTAGTGTTATCCTGCTTAGGGTGGCTGGCATTTGCAATGGTACTAGTGTATTATGGTAGTTTTTTTTACTTGTATCTTTTTTGTTTATGGTGTTTCGTTATCACATGATTTTATTAAAATAATTCCTATTTTAATAGGATTGTATAAACCTATTCATGTTCTAACACTCCCCCTCAAGCTAGTGCATACAACTCGTGTACCTAGCTTGTTACAAATGTAATTAATACGAGGACCGATGAGGGGCTTGGTGAAATATCTGCAAGTTGATCGGTCGACTTCACAAAATTGACAGTCAATCTCAATGTGCTTGTCTTCTCATTAAATACTAGATTTGATACATAATGTGAGTCAATCTCAATGTGCTTTATCTTCTTGCATAATGCCGATAAAACAGAGTGATGAAATTACAATGTTGAACTTCCCAAACCAAACTTCCAAAGACTATTTCAGACCATAGAGTGACTTGCACAATTGACATACAAAGCTACTAAACTCCTCCTCAGCAACAAAGTGCTCAAAATCTAGTATAAAGTACATGGATCATGTTGGAATCAATAGATGAGTCTATATTAAACAAGAAAGTCACCCAAAAATTGGTTGCAACATGCGCATACGCCGGAGTATTAGATTTGATGGCTGAAAGTCTTCAATCTAACAAATAATATTATATGAGTAGGGTCGGAATGATGTCACGACCCAACTATAAAATAGAAATTATATAGGATAAGTTCGAATTGACGGAACGAGCCTATTGAAAAACAGAAATAATATAGGTAGATGGCACGACCTTACTGAAAAAGAACAAAATATACAGGTAAGGTTGGAATGATGGCACAACCCTACGCAAAACAGATTTGAGGAGTCACCCGAAAGACGAATGGAACTATGCAAATAAAATCTGAGGAGTCACTGAAAAGACACATCATGCTATGCAACTCAGATATGAGAAAGTAGCTCGGAAAAATCCACGGTACTACACAAATTCAATATGAAAAGTAGTCCGGAGAGATGCACGGTGCTATGAAAATCAGATATGCAAAAAAAGGTAGTCACTGGAAAGACGGCACGGTGCTACACAAACTATATGAAAAAGTAGTTACCGAAATGATGACACAGTGCTACAGTAGTCACCAGAAAGATAACACGGCTACATAAATTAAATCTGAAAAAGTAGTTACCGTAAAGATGAAACGGTACTACACAAAGTAGATATAAGAAAGTAGTCACACGAAACATGACATGGTGCTACACATATAGGATATGAAAAAGTAGTCACCAGAATGATACACGGTGACCCAACTTTTGCTAACATAATCATTGATCAGACGGGCAACATATATGAGTAATCGCCACCACCGGCAGCGGAAGCTCTTTGATTTTCTACCAAGATTGTAGAGGCTCTGATACCACGTGAGAAATATAGGAAAATAATATTATTGAATTGTTTTATGTTTACATTATTACATTGAGACCCTATTTATAGACACTAGAATCCAATCCTTTCCAAGTAGAATACTATTTACTATTCCTATTTATATTTGTCTTCCTATTCCTATTCTAAATAGGATTGTATAAATTATTCCTATTCAAAATAGGATTGTATAAATTATTCCTATTCTAATAGGATTGTATAAACCTATTCATATTCTAATAGGATTGTATAAACCTATTCGTATTCTAACAATGAATAAACATGTAAACTACACAAATGTTACCTATGTCCCGTTGAGGCAATTTTTGTGCACAATGGGCCAAATATAAGCGGCAATAAAATGATGCTAGTGGATCTGCAATGCCTCTTGCCATCATAACTAGTCGTGGAAGATTATTGGCAGGTTGTTCCGAAAGGAAACGCCAGCAATGGTATATGGCCAGCTCCAAGTATCTGTTCAGAAGAGTATTTGCCAAACAGAAGACCAACAGAAATATAAACTCGTGAACAGTTTTTCAATTTTAAGAAAGAAAACAAATGAAAAAGGTGGTTTCAGTTTTCTCCATGCAATGATGTCTTGTATAGGTTGCAGATACTTCGCTTTTCTAAAGAAAAAGAGAAGAAGAGATCTGGTAATTGATTTTACTCAATCAAGCATGTTGGTATTTAAATAGTTTTACAAGTAAAACTTAAAAGGAAGAAAGAAATTTCGAGTTCTAATTACACAATCACAGGGATTCTAAAACCTTTTGCATATTTATAATGGACTCTTGACATACTAGCAATATTTAATTCTTAATAGCATCCAGAAACTGCTCAGCTGATATGGAACATGAGCATGAAACCACAAATACCAGAGGTGGAGTCTCATTGAAAACTTTAAATCATTTCAGTCTAGAGGGGCAGGCAGAATCTACCTTACTTTTATGATTCTGATGAAAGCAGTTGCATAGAAAGCCACATGGCAATGTATCCTAGATATCTTAAAATTCACCATGCAATGACAATACAGAGATAATCTACAGCTTGCATTCTAACAAATTTTCACTAGTGAACCACTTTTGGAAAAATTCAAAGATAATTTCCTTAAATATGTCGATTTCCAATAACTCTTTAATGCTTCCAAATCCATTCCAGCATCTCACCTAACAACATTATATTAATAAATAATAGACACCTTAAGATAAATTGAAGTAAAAAAAATGGAATCACGAGCTATAAAGACAGAGGATAGAAATTGCAAGAACTGAGGACCTCACATGCGTGGTAGTAGCTCGCGGATGGAACCAACTTTGCAAAACCAGTTATAGCAGGTTTCTTTGGCTTCAGCACAGATATGAGTTGCTTGAAAGTTATCTGTTACAGATAAATTGCGTCTTTTAGGAAGAAATGTGACTCAGGAAACCAGAACAATTACATCAAGGATATCAGAATACTGAAAACAAAGAAACAGAATTTCGACTGATATCTTAGAGATTGGTATACTAAAGACATTGAAACCTTGTCCTTCAACTAAAAAATAAATTTTACAAATGAAAAAAAAATCCGCCCAATTGTGATTTGGAATGTTTACAAAACCACAATTAACTTATCCAGCATCGCTTCTCCATATAACCATCCTCTTTGACTGTGATTAATTATAATCAGAATTGCAGATCCTTAAGGTGCCAATGTCAGGCTTAGCAATAAGACAAATTTCATAACTTACCGAGATATCTACTGTTCTAACCGTGGGCCTAAGGATTCTACAGTCTTCCATTACAATGAACAGTTGCAGACAGCAGACTGCTCTTATTCATCCAAACAAAATCAATTAGAAAATCTAACCAATTATTTCCAAGTTGATTTATACACAAGGATGATGACAAACTTATTTTACACAAACAGTACATTAGAGACTAAATTTGAGTCACGGTAAAAACACATGACAGCAGTGGACACCGGATATTGGAAATTAGGTGCCAGTTGGCCACAAGGAAGTAGAGCTAGAGATAAGTGTGAGGGATATACCTGGTAAATGGACTAATGTCCCATATTCAGTGTATTCAGCTTTCTGCCTGATGCGTTCCCATACCATATCCCCTAACATATCTAGTATTTCTGTAGCTAGAACAAAAAGTGTTGGATAAAATTGTAGTACAGATGTGTCCGACAGTAACTTAGCAACCTATTCAAGAGAAGTCAAGACACAATTAGCTAAAAAATGAAAGTAGAATTGCCAACAGGCCAGGTGATGTTATAGAAGAGTCTTAAGTTATTATATATGTGGTTCCATTAGACCAGTTAATTAATTTGATCCTTCATATTTTTATTATTTGTTTTACTGTTGAAATCAATGAGAAGAGAAAAAATGTATACTGTTGAATGATTTATAAGAAAGCAATTCATTCGTGTCCTTTTTACTGATTATTTTGCTTGAAATTATGTTGGTCTATCAGAAAAACAGGTTAAAGTGTGTTGTACCTTAACAGATGAATTCATCTTTTCAGTAACAGGTGTCATCAGTTGGAAGCAGAAAATAAGGGAATAGTCTGCAATGTTTGCCTCAAATCAATGTGGAGATAGAACTAAATTGGTCTTATTGTTGATTGATTCTATATGTTTGAACTAGGAATGAAAATTCAGTCGGTTGTTTGGTTTTTAGAAGTTGGTTCAGTATTTCGGTTTATGGTTTGGTAAAAATGAAAACTGAAATCAATCTGAAATTAGTTTGGTTTGTTCTTTGATATTTGTTTTGGTTCGGATTTTGGGTTTAAGCTTTATCATGTTAGCCTTATTCAAAATCTTCTCCTGACTGGTCATTCAATTCATCAGAACTTGTGGTAGCACCATAACTTTTGCTTCCTACCAATGTAGTTTTGTCAGATAACAAAACAAATTGGGAATTACTTCTACACTTGATAGTTCAAAACTAACACTAATATTGCACCACCACTCATCTTTTCCTTATTCTGGAAAAAGTATATAGACAAACACTGGAGGGAAGATATGAAAATTTGAAAAGAAACAAAGTGAAGATATGAGAACACAGAAAATTAAGATTAAAAATCCCCGTTCTTAATTTATGGCTCACAAAGACTCAATGAAGGTAAAGGAAATAAATCAGCAAACAAATAACATAAACAAACAAATAAATTATTTTCCTTAAACTTACATTATTGGCCCACTTGTCGAATGTTTTCTTAGATTTAGAGGAATGAAATAATAACTTCTTTCAGTTATCCTTCCAATTCTTTACAATATCCCTTCTTCCTTTGGATTCATGTCAATTTCTCACACTATTAGATCACAATGATTGAGCATGTTACTTACAAGTACAAATATCGATTTTTCAGTTTGACCAATTTTATTTCCTTAAGAAAGAAGACCGAACCGAATAACCCAAATTTTAAAAAACTAAAACTGAACAAAAAATATTCTCTTCAGAGGGTTTTTCTTTGTCTTGAAAAAGCCCATCCCTAGCAAACTTGAAACGGACGGGTACATAATTAAAACATAAGTCAGCCAAGTATTACTAAATGGAAAACTTGAAAGTTGAAACTGACTTTTCGAACAAATACGAAATAAATTTTTAAACGGTGGGTACTTATCCAAAAAGACTGATCACTTGATCAGGAATAACCTGAGTGAACCTGACTGAGCTATGAGCCAGTATTAAATACTCCATTTGTTTCAATTTGTTTGTCTTACTTTCCTTTTTGGTCTATTTTAAAAAAGTGTCTCTTTCTTCATTTGACAACTCTTTAATTTCAACTTTCACATTACATATGTATGACCACAAGATTTAAAGGGGGGATGTTTGGTACATTATGCACATCTTTAGTTTAACGCCACAAGATTCAAAAGTCTTTTTTATTTTCTCAAACTCTATGGCGAGTCAAACTAAGACAAACATATTGATAGGGAGAGAGCAGCAACTTTGAAATTGACTTACTGTACGAATACCAAATAAAATTGTTAAATTGAGAGGTACATATCCAAAAAGAATGATCACTTGATTGGAAAGTTCAGAATCCAGTAAGAAGCAAATGTGAAACAGCTTAGAACAAAAACCACCTTGATTGACAAATTAAAGGAGGTTACACGGTCACTTGCATGCCAGGCACGACTAATTTCATCTTTAAGTTCAGTTAAGCGTGAGACATACTCCTGCAGGGTGATATAGTTAACACCTTCTTCATCTAGCTCCTCTAAATGTACATCTGTCGAGGGTTTCTCAGGACCTACAATATTTTATCATCATAGCAATTATTGCCGAGGAAATAAGATAGCTAGTCTAACATATCAAACAAGTTCAAATGATACCCCCTTTACATTTTTCTTAGCTGCATTAGAAAATAAAAGGATGAGAGGACTTTAAAAGTCCATGAAAATAAAGAAAAAAGCTTTATAATCTTTTCTTTTGTCCTATTTTGTATGACAATCTTTGATTGAGCCACACAGATTAAGGAACCAGATGACTTAATATTGATTTTGCACAGGTAGAAAACATTTGAAGTAGATTTGGATTAGGTATGCAAGTCATATTAAATGAAATAATGTATCACAAGCTTAAATCAAAATGTTTTAAACCTTGTAAAATGTAGAATATTATTGGGTGACAACATATGCAATTAATTTGGGACACTTCAAACTAAATAATGAGCCACATAAAGAAAATATAGTGAGGATATATCATACCCTTGCCTGTCTTCATAATTGAGCTTGACAGCTGTAAGGAGCAATAAAAAAAGGTCATACTGAAACCCAGAACAGTATTAAAACTAAACACAATAAAACACTGATTAATAATTTTGTAATTTTTTTTTGTTGACACCCTAATGTTTCTTCTTAACTTTTTCCTTCTCTTTTCTGTTGTTCTTTTTAAGCAAAAAGCTTCTGATTTGATCCCAAAGGTAGACAATGAAAATATATTAATCATAAGGTAAAAAAACCAAGAAATTCACAACCATTTGAAATTTGCTGCAGTGTTAATAAAGTCCACAACCCTCCACCCAAAAAGAAAAACTTAAAAGAAAAGAAGGAAACCAAAGCACTTTGGGACAAAACAAACATAATTTCATTATAAGATGCAGCTAGCAACTGCAGCATAATAAAAAAATTTCCATCTAATTCATTGAACATAAATAGAAATTGATAATTAAACCTCAAAACAAATTTAGGGTGTGTTAGGTATGAAGGAAAATATTTTCCACAGATTTGTTTTCTTAAACTAGAAGTGATTTTCTTAGTTGTTTTATGGTAATTGGTAAGCAAGCAAAAAGATATTGTTCTAAGAGCATTTCTATGTAATCTAGGAAACACAAGGATCCACTAAGATCACCTTTCTTTTGGACAATATGTAAGTAGCTCAATAGCATGTGTGTGAAGATTAAAGTGGCATACTAACCGAAGAAATAGAGATCATTTTGGAGACAGGAAATTTTTGCATCAAGACTTTCTTGTAAGATGTCCACTCCTTGCCCAGAAAATGAATAGCAATATCTCTATATGGTTCACCTGCAATTTCAGTAGATGTTCTTCCTAATCCCTTCATGGAATCCTCTGGTTTTCCATGATCCCCCCTTAATGGATCAAAGAACTCGTCCCTGCCATAATCCGTAACATCAACCTACAGACTCAGCCAAGTGATGGAAAAATTAGGAAATGACAAAACATCTGAATATGCTAAGAAAAACAGAGCCCGTGATCAATCATAGAGTAAGGTTATCGACTTAACAATTGATGAACCATGGTGGTATATTGGTATCACCATTATAATCTTTTGAAGCACTAACAGCGGGTACAAGTTTAGCTACATATATGGCATACACAATCATCTGATTTCTTTTCCTGTGCTGGTTTACTCTTCTCTTATAGGAGTAGTTTCTTTTTGTCTTACGTATGTCTTCTCTATTTCTGAGAATTATGGAGTGTGGAGCAGATCGATGGGGATCTCACTGATGGGAAAGAGAATATGGTTTCGTGACAGGTTCATGCATAAGGGGACTGTATAGAGATGAATTACATGACCAATGAGAGACATGCAATGCCATCGTACCGTCTTGGCTGATGAGTACAATCGGTGAGGAACTTCTTAACGGAGTTGTATATCATACCAGTGCTTTTGCAGTTTGGGCAGATTTGAAGGAACATTTGACAAATGAGAATTCATCAGTTGCACAGGGAAATCACAACTCTCTCACAAGGTACTGATTCTGTTTCGACCTATTTCCCAAAATTGAAAAATTTATGGGTGAATATGACGCTCTTGTACCTTCACCAAGTTGTGGTTGTCCTAAATCAAAAGACTATGAGGACCATCTATATCATTTGAGGTTAATACAATTTTTAACTGGATTGAATGAATCATATGAACAAGCACATACAAAGAGCTTGTTGAAAGGCACTACTCCATCTATAAACCATCTTATGCTATAAGCTTGTTGAAAGGCACTACTCCATCTATAAACCATCTTATGCTATAATAATAATTGAGGATGAGATTCAGCATTCAGCTTGTTTAGTTACTGCAAATGAGAAACCAGATCCAATAGCTATGAGAGTCTGTAGAAATCAAGGAACTCAAAACAATAATCAAGGAAATTCGAACTATAGAGAAAGAAAGGTGCTTTCACAATATGAATATTGTCATTTCACTGGACATGCCAAGGAGAATTGTTACATATTGATTGGCTACCCTGCTGATTGGAGATAAAGGAGGAATATTGGAAATGGAAATGGCTATCCTAAGGGAACATCTGGTCATGGTAATTCTGTAGGGTGTGAGAACTTTGGAACACATGGAGGTCAGTCTAGTAATTTTGGAGGATAAGGAAACTTTGGACCACATGGAGGTCAGTCTAGCAACAATGGCCAACACTCTTTTGCTTGAGCGAAAAACATTTCTGGAAGCCATGGTGATCATAATCAGATTGATTCAACTAGTCATGATGTGAATAATGCTTTTGTGCCCAAAGGACAAGTTTCACAGATGGTGAGTACAAGCAGATATTAAATCTATTGAGTAAGGATACAAAGGAGATCAAGACAAACAACAAGCATCACAACTCGTTTAATGGCTAATGTTTTCTCAAATGACTGGATAGCAGATTCTGGTGGTAATCATTGGAAGCAATGTTCAAATGATTCATGAAGCCAACGAAATAGTGCATCAGCAGTTCAAGTTGAAAGATTTGGGAGAGCTCAAGATTTTTTTGGGCATTCAAGTCCTGAGATCCAAAACTGAGGTCATTCCGCACCAAAGGAAGTACATAGTAGAGCTCATTTCAACCATAGGTCTCACTGGTGCAAAGCCAGTGTCTATTCATTTAGAATTCAACTTGAGGATGACTACTTTAGAGTTTGATTAAGTTACTGCCAATATAGGAGATGCATTCTTGAATAATATCACTTCTTATCAGAGGTTGATTGCGAAGCTTATGTATGCTACCATCACAAGACCTGATATCAGTTATGCTGTCCAAACTTTCAGTAAGTTTATGCAACATCCGTAGAAGTCACACTGGGTGGGTACCACTACAGTGGTTAGATATTTGAAAGGTATAGTTGGCCAAGGAGTTCGATTGCAAGCTCATCCTACTGAAGAATTGACTTGTAGGTGTGACTCAGATTGGGCTACGTGGCCCTAATATAAGAATATCAGCAACAGGTTATGTGGTTATTTGGGGAGTTTATAGTGTCCTGGAAATCAAAGAAGCGGCAGACCGTTTCTAGATATTCAACTGAGGCTGAATACAGGAGTATGGACACAGTTGTGGCAGAGAAACCTGGTTGCTTAGGTTGTTCACTAAACGAGATGTTCACAATCGGATGCCTGTCACAGTATTGACTGATAGTCAGCAATGCAGACGCCAGGTAGCAGCCAACCTAATCCTCCATTAGAGGACTAAGAACATAGAGATTGACTGCATCTCATTTGAGATAAGATTAAGGATGATTTGGTGGAAATAGTGTATGTTCCAACACAGCAACAAATAGCAGATTTGTTGACTATGGGTCTGGGACAAAAACAATATCATCACCTGTTGCCAAGCTTGGTGTTCTTAACATATTACACCCTCAATCTTGATGGGAAGTGTGGAAATATTGATTTGAACATGTGGCTTGTAAGCACTGGACATTGTTCCATTGGGTTTGCCCATTAAGCAGTTCTGCTCATTTTCTCAATATAGAATTTCCTTTCTCTTCTTCTTCTTCCTCTTATGATATCCTTCAGTAATGAGTTTGTGAGCTTCATGCTCAGATTATATCAGAGCACAAAAAAACTTGAATGCAGTTCTAACTTATCTACTTCTTAATAACTTTTTTTTTTCATAATGAACCACTGGGAAACCACTTCACCTATGACTATTTAACTTAAAATTTTCAAATTGAAATTTTATTATTTTGGCTAATCTATTCAGAAATAAAGAAGATTTAATCATGATAATGAGTAGTTTGGCCATGAAATTTGATCCTGGCATTAGGCCATGAATTTTTTACTTTTCCCCATAGTTCAACCCCAGAAAACACGTTTGGCCAATTAAATTTCAACTTCAAGTTGAATTCTAGAATTTTCTAGAAATCCGAAAAAAAAATCACTTTTTTCACTCCAAATTACTCCCAAGAAAAACTCTCCAACTTCTATTCATCATGACCAAATATAAAAGGTTGAATTTCACAAGGAAACATGGTCAATAATGATAATATGTAGTTTGGTTCATTACTCTGTTTAAACCCTGATCATACTGAAATTGTTCACCCTAGATTCCACTCTTTGGTACAATTGATCAAAAACTTAATACTTTACAACATTCTCCTTGATTCAAATGCAAGCAGTGCTGCGATTAATATAGACAATGAAGAGAAAAACAATGAACCTGGTCACGCGACGGTGATTGAAGTGAGAGAGGATGAGTCACTGCTGCCACCCGATGGAGAGAGTGAACTTGTTCTTCACTTTTGTAATCTCGATGTCGAAATTTGAGTTCCATGAAGCCAAAGTTGTGCAATTAGCTACAGGATGCTATGTGAATTTCAGAGAAAAATGTCAATTTTTTGGTAAGGTATATATATATATATATATGTCTCGCTCTACTTTTCAACGATGATACATGTTTTTGACAGGGTACACAGTTACAATAATTTGTGAATTTTATCTATTGACGAAATGAAATATTTTTTAATAATAAATCAAAAAAGATTTGATTCTAATTAAGTATTTATGTGTATTGTTATTAGATTTAAAATTTATTGGAGTTGTTCATCATCAAAGTCTATACAAAAGATATGTAATTGTTTCACTGTCTATATATTTGTATGTTCAAAAAGTTGTACAACCAATATATTCATCAATTGCGGGAGTTTTTCTCCTACTCAAAATCGTTACATACAAAATCTAAATATTATACATCTTATATAATTAGTTGTGTACTTAATAAGTTAATTAAAATATAAAAACACATCTCTTGGAGTTCAATGAAATAATGCATGTAGCTCAAATTATTTCGATTAAATGATGTCTTGACAAGTCCCTTATTCAAAATCATACGCAACCGATGACACTACTTTGATAGCCAAAAGACATATTTTATTGTTTGTGTTTCAATCAATATGGTTAAAACTTTATTCTTTTCAGGACTTTTAATCTAAAGTTTATAAAGAGGTAATTATTTCTTTAATATTCGAGTAATATTGATTCATCTTACTTTGAGGGGTAATTCATTGACTCCAACCCAACATTTGAACTTCAAGAGTTTGATTAAGGTTGAGCATAATACTTACCATCCCACTACATTCCTTTTTTTTATTGTCACCTAATCGATTGAATAACTCGATAAGATAGAAGTTGAATAAATAAAACTCAAAGGTAGTGTGGGACCACCATAACTTTTGAACACTCAAAGTACTTTCTTGGATCCCATGAATCTTTTAGCCACTAAAACTCAATAAAGGTTAAAGTCATTATTTTTCAAGTTTAAGAATCCTAATTTGCATGACACCAATAGTCTAATGATTACATCAAACTCTTGATTAACATATCTTTACTTCAACATAATGATCAAAAACATAAACAACAAAGTTTAAAACATGTACATAAAAAAGAAAAATTATTAAATAAGCATAAATTAATGACTGTAAAAAACATACTAGGATCTGTAATAATAAAATGAAACATAAAGAAAAAATTGAGCCAGCTGAATGCATATTTTTCCCTTAAGTAAATTATTTCATTCTGATACCCGAAGTTTAAAGGAATAGATCCTCTCAGGACAGAGCCATTCTATTCACCAGTGTGATGATACAAAAAACAATGGTGTGTGTCAATCACTCAACATGAGCAAAGTAGACGAATACACAATTCTGCAGAAGAAGAAAATAAAGCTCAAAATTTTGTTGTTTTAAAATGAGAGGAAATCCCTTTATTTATATATAACAAAGGGTGGTATGAATAAAAATTATTGTGCCTAATCAGAAAGGTCACAAACTTGTCACATCCGGGTTTACCCCCTAGACATAACTGGCGGCGGCGGCGTCTTTGAGGACTAAGACTAGTCTCTTAGTCTTACATCGTCACATTCATAAGTCGAAAATATGGAAAAATTGAAACTTTTCATTACATCTACTTAGAGGTTTACATAGACCTCTACAATCACCTAATATATATTCGTATCGAGTATACATTGACCCTTCGTATAGAATGGTTACATAGCCTTCTACTTTTATTGCACATACGTATACATAAAATAGAATATAGTCTCATCTCATACCATCTAAAAGATCATAGCAATTTGGGTATAGCCCTATATGAATGTAAAGAAACCACATATAGGCTTATACAAATCGTACTCAAATGAAAGTAGAATGAACATAAGAGTCATAGAAATAAAGCAACTCCATAAGCTAGATACGGCATCGCCCTCGGAAAGTGAGGACCTACCCTTTGGATGATAGAGAATATCCGAGTCTTCTTCAAGTCGTCTCAAATTAGCCTTCAACGACCAGAACTTAAAATGTTTATGAAAAAGGGAGAAAATGAGGTTAGTACGCCACTTGTACTAAGTATGAGATCATATGCACAAAACATGCTAAAAAGGGACATTTAGCTAAAACATGCCAATTTACCCTTTAAAAAAAGTCTCATGCATAATCAAGCAAGTCATACCAATCAACCAAACATGCTTACTAACTCAAACAAGTAAAATGTATACCAACATACTTGAACCCATGATCTACTAAAATCCTATCATCAAGAAATAACATCACAAGCATGAATAAGAGTTAACCATATCATAATAAGCAAGACAATTACTCATGGATCCTCATCAAGTCAACAAGAGCAATGATCAAGCAAAGCCCCATAACCTTAATCAATCACGAAACATAACTAATTCCCAACTTCACATAACTAACCTTTAATAATGCATAATGTCATACTTTAATAATATAATCAAATTACATGCTCCAAAGGATAATCATCATCATATAACACTATTCATATTGTACATCAACATATTATCATCATTTACATCATTGTCAAATACATACATAATATTAACTTTCTAAAGCTCCCATCAAGGCCAACTAGTGCAAGGCATAGGTAGAGTCCCATACCTCTACCTAAGCTAAGTTAAACCCCTCAAGTCACCTTAGTTAGTTTATACCTCATTACTTCATTTTAGTTTAGAGAACACTTGCCTTAACCGACATAGATCACATGAGCTAAGTGTGGAATCCGGTGTCATAAAACCTTACACCGATGGAAGGTGGTCTATCGGCCAAGGTAGAACCTAACGTGAACATAGCATCTAGGTGGATACACTAGCTAGTATTCCAATGGTGGCAACATAGTTTAAGGAACTTGGGGCCGTCTTGGAAACATCACTCTACACCCATTTGGGTCATGAGTCTATCCATCCGTGAGGACCGTAGTGAACCTTACCTTCCCTACTTGGGAAAGTGTCACTCCCTCATATACAAGATCACTCGGTGCTAAGCTAGGTCCCTTTATTGAAATGCCTTTAAGTCTTTATTAACAATCATAAATTAGTTTAGGTCATAGGGTCTAGCCCTTGTATATTCTTCATCACCATAGCTAAATAAGAATTGCATGAGTATAGTCCTTTCATCACAATTCATATAAGTGAGGTTAACATATTACATATCACTTCATAATAGGGCACATGGGTAAACATCAACATCCTTATAACATGTACACCTTAATCAACCTCACAACCATAATCAAGACATTTTACCATCCTATCAATCCTAAATAAGGCATACTCCAACACAATATCATGAATTAATAACAATTAACCACAAGTTGAAGTAAAGAATAGGAATTACAAGACTTACCGAGCCTCCTCCATATTTCATATAAGGGTCTTACCACCAACCCACAACCCAATTGGGTCATCACACCAATATAATTCAATAACCAACATGGTAACAAAGCTATAAGATTCACTACACCATAATTCAATACTAGATTAAAACTTTAAGACAAGATACGTAGGTCAATTCTCTTAACCTAGATCACTTCTCAAGAACTAGTATGAAAGACTACAATTCATCCTAACTTTTTTATGATTGGTGTAACAACATCATCTAATAGTGATTTAACCAATAATCAAGTCAATTGAATCAATCCCAACCTAATTCACATCAAGAACAAACCTAGGTTTAAGGGTTAAGGATCACGTTCTACAATCTAGACCAAACCATCTCAAGTTATCATGATCAAGTTAAAATACATGTTAATCTATTCATTTTATCCTAAATAATTCATAAACAACTCAGTTCATAACATCAAATTCGTAATTGGATGAAACCCACATGAAAACTAAACTTTTAGAAATACTATGAAAGAGCCCTTTGAGGAAAGAAGTCTCAAAGGTGAATTAGATCAAATACCTTAACACTTGATGAAGATTTGATGATGAATCGTCCCTTTCCAGCCCCCAATGAAATTGTCTTCAATGGTGTCTTCCAATAGAGAGAGAAAGAAGAGAGAAGAAAGAGAAATTATTTTGAGAGTTCCCCTTAAACTAATTAGGCTCCCTTAATCCACTAGATAACCCCCCTAACCCCATAACTAATTAAATGAACTTAATTTAAAATGTGTAGAAAAGTTGCAGACCCCATCGACGAGACCACGATCGATGGATCGTTGGTCCATCGACGAGCAGGCCTGCCTCTGTGCTGCACAACCGTAGTTTCGGTCAGAGACTGGTGCAGGCGGGGGATTTCTCCATTTTTCTAATTGTTGGTGACGTTTGGAAATGACGCCTCATTGGTCCATACACAAATCATCGCCTGCATCTAGTAGATGCACACTGCCTAGACAGTGTTGACATCCACTTGCAAGGGTCCTCCTCAAGGACCCTTGGTTGGTCCTTAGGGATTCGTACCCGGACGTTTCAACCATCAAATAATTTAAATACATGTTATACACCTTCTTACTCAATTTCATAAATTTTTGACTCTTAAAAGCTAACCAAATAGGCTAAGGCACGCTAGTAACTCTTTGAACAAACTTCCGGACGTTCTTGGACGTTTTGGTTTCTAAACTTCTTAAATGACCTATATTCATTGACAAAGACTCAAAAACAGTGCCTAGACCTCATGATGCCTATGTTAGACTTTACGACACATCTTGAATTTTCGAAGTGTTACACAACTCTTTGGACAAGTCACAATTTTTCATAAAAGTTGCAACTCTTCATAAAATTCGCAACTCTTCATTAAACTTGCAACTCTTCGTAAAAGTCGCAACTCTTCGTTAAAGTCACAACATTTTATAAAAAGTCACAACTTTTTGTAAAAGTCGCAACTTTTCATAAAAAAGTCACAGTGTTTTTGTAAAAGTCACAAGTTTTCATAAAAGTCACAACTTTTCATGAAAGAGAGGACTACTTTTTGAAATAAATAAGTTAAAAAGGAATCCTGGTTTGTGGTTACGCCACATAGGCAGCCTAACGTTCTCTTTTATATAAATATATGATTAGTTTCACGAGACGTGTTGTATCGTATATATAGTATACGATGTTGTAAAATATAAGTAATATTACTATATTAAAGCTTTTTTGTA